GGAGAAAAAGGAGCCAAAAACATATGAAGAAATGATGGTCGGATACTTCACAAACTGAGGAAAACCACAAATATGAACTTTCAGGAAGCTCATATAATGCCAAGAAGGCTAAACTCAAAGGTACCCACACCTTTACACATCATAGTAATGGTGTTGAAAGACAAAGAAAAATTGTAAGCAGCAAAAGGAAAAACAATTCTTTACGTGTAACAGAACTACAATGAGATAAACAGCTGACTTCTTGTCAGAAAGAGTGGAAGCCAGGAGGGAACAGGCTGACATATTCAAAGTGCTGAAAGACAAACACAACAAAGCAACAACAAAAAAAAGCCTGTTGATCAATAATCTCTACCCAGCAAATCAAAACCACCACGAGACACCATTTTATCTCCACTAGGATGTCTGTGAGAAGAAAGGATGGACAAGAACAGGTGTTGTCCAGAATGTGGAGAAACTGGAACCCCTATGCATTGCTGGGCAGATGCAAAATGGTGCAGCTACTATGAAACACAGTTTGGAATCTCCCTCAGAAGATTAAGTGTAGAGTTTCTGTAAGATCCAGAAATTACACTTCTAGATACATACTCAAGAGAAATGAAAACATATGTCCACACAAACTCTCATACACAAATGTTCCTAGCAACATTATTCACGTAAACAAAGAAAATACATATGATACTGTCCATCAACTGATAGACATTAAAATAAAAAAGGGGCACGTGTATACAAAGCTCATTATTCACCAATGAAAATGGTTAAGTCTTTATACATGTTGTGAAATGGGTGACCCTTGAACACGGGGTCCTAAGTGAAAGGAGCTAGTTGTCAAAGACCGCGTATTTCACGCCTCCATGTCTAAGAAGTGGCCGGATCCAGCAAATCTATAACCACAGAAGGCAGATTAATGGGTGCCATGGGCTGATGAGGGTTTGAGGGAAATGGGGGCTGACTGTATGGGGCTTCTTTTTGGGGTGATGTAAATGTCTCAAATTAGATTGTGGTGACATCTGCACAAGTTGGGAAATATACTAAAGAACATTGAATTCTACATTTTCAAGGGGTGAAACTCGGATATGTAAATTGTATCTCAATAAAGCTTTTTTTTTTTTTAAATAGTCTCTGTCTCTTAGAGTTGTCATTAAGCTAAGTGAGATGACAAACGGGATAAAATGGGAAATCCTTGGGCAAGTGTTTGGCAAATAACCTCCAGTGAGTTATTACTGTTCCTTCTGCTACTGTCCTTGTCATCACTGTTTCCTACACTGTAATTAGCCCAGTAATTTTATTCATTATTTAACAAGTGTTGAAAAGCACCTACTGTGTGTAGGCATTTATGTGCTTGTGATTGGTAATCAGAACAGATTCATGACGTCAGCTTGAAAGAGACATAAGTAAAATAGACACTTTTTTTTAAAGTAAACTTATGCAGCAAAATGAGAAATATCTTGAGTCAAGATACTTGGTGGCAATACCAGAATGACTTTCAAAGTCATTTTCAGGGTGACTGATCTTATTTTGTTTACTATACTTGGTTTTCATATACAAATATTGACTTCTAAACATTCATAGATGGTGTTATCAGGGATTCCGTGACCTTGATGGACATCAGTAGTCTTCCCTGGCCATTCATGGGCATCACATCCCAATTCTACAGTAAGGATTCAGCTTGGACAATCGTTCCTCTGGAAACCCACCCAGACGCCGCTGTCTCTCAGCAAGGCGGGGCGGGGCGAGGAGTCTGCATCTTCGTTCTCCCGGCACCCATACAGGTCCTTAGCTCATCACTGCGCAGCAAAGCTTTCTGTCCCTGCTTCTCCCGTCAGACAGTGTGCCCCTCGGGCCCGGCTCTGGCAGGCCCCGGCGAGGCACAGTTCTGAAGCACAGCCACCACTTACGTGAGATTCAAAGTAAAACATTAATTTTAGGTTTGTCTTTCTTCTTTAACAATATTTATTTACTAAAATGAAACCACACCATTAGCTATGAACTCTCACAGTGTTCCTCAAATCAATTATCCGAGGACTAGAGCAGCATTTTCCCAAATTCAAAATTTGAGAACCAGGAGGAAGAGCTATGTATTAGTTGGGAAATGCCTTGTCTCATATTTGTAAATCATTTTCTCTAATTGAGTAATACGATCTATTAAACTCTTAATTAAACAGTAATACATTTTAAATGAAAAGTCGTACGCTTGTGCTATTGATTAAATAGGAAGAACAGAATTTAGATCATTTCCCACTACCAGGGAGCTTGTTTTCAAAGTGGCCTCCACTAGGTCTGCAAAGGCGTGTGAGTGATGACAGAGCAAAGCAAGGAGACCCCTGACTCAGAGAGCCGAGTCACCTAGAAGCCCAGCTGAGAAAAGCCTGACCAAGATCTATCTAGAACTTCCATTAGAACCCAGAAGAACAAAGAGTAACAATAGTAACAAAAAGGAGCCATCATCTAATGTAAAAGATATGCTATTTTTCTTCATGTGTTAATAGGTTTGAAGGAGAACGGCTGGGGTAACCATCAATCACGGAAGAAATAACAAGACTTGGCAGCTACTTGAGGGGCATTTCCATTCAATAATTTTATTATCTGGCTAAAGACTGAGGACTCCTCAATCCTCCCTTTTTTGTCTTTAAAATGCCTTTGATTTGTCCTATCCTATGGCAAATGCCCCTGAATCTCACACTCATAATTCTAGTTGAGGTCGGCTTTGCAGTGACCCTTCGTAGACAAAATCCCAGCGAAGCTGGAATTAATGTGCTTGGAAGATGAATGGTGAAAACATCCAGGGACCAAAATACTGAATTCCAGTGTCGATTATCCAGGGGAGTCTTTTTTCCTGTTCTTTTCACTTCTTTATCTTTTATGTAGTTGTCATTTACAGCTTTCGCTGTTAACTCCCATTGAGTTCAAAGACAGCCAGAAATCTCAAGCTGCGGCTGGCCAGCTCTATTCACAGAACAGACTCCAGGCGTGGGAAGACCTAGGCTCACAGAGATTGGGGGTGTCAATGAGCCTGCACCCCAGCTGGGTTCATGGGAAGCACCTCACTCAAACTCCACAAACGAATCCAAGGGTGCTCTGAAAGGCGGGGCACACCGCCCTACCTCACAGATGGCTTCCATTATTGGTCTGAGCCTTTGTTGAAGAAAGCCAAGGAAGAGACTGAGGCCTTTAGTGCCTTACATGAAGAGGTCTAGCTCTTTCCTTAAGGCAGATCTACTTTTCTTGGGAGAGTGTGGCAGATGTCAGCCATGCTGTCTCCATGGTTAACAAGTGTGCCAAGTAGCCATCACCCTATCCTCGTCAATTCCCCGTCGTAGCCATTCTCAAACCAAAAGCCTTTTACAATTCAAAGTAGACATGAGCCCAGCCAGTACCAAATTCCCCTAAAAAGCAGAATGCTAATATTTAAAAAAAAAGATACAGCATTTGCACACATGCAGTATTTTAAGGAATTGGTTATGAATGCCCCTTTGGCATCCAACATTCACATACATACACGCAAAATCTTCATAAGACGCAGAGTCTGAACTCCCCCTTTCCAAAGAGGAAAAAGGAATTTAAGAGAGACTTAGAGTGTTTTCTGGAGATGTAACAAATGTTCAAAAAAATCTGTCAAACTTAACACGCTCAGACCTTAATGTTTTAACCACATGTTTTCACTTGGCGACTTCTGTCATGTCTCCCTTATATGTGTCTGACTAATTAGTATGTGTCCGAGAACCTAAGCACCTACTAAACTTTTCCCCCCTAAAATTATGGAAATAGTTTAAGAAAAGTAAAAGATAAGCCATTCATATTTCAGCGTGAGTCAGCCTGAGGGACTGTACCTTCTCCGCTTGGCCCGACGCTCCTCGCCCTAGGGTCCCAGCAAAGGGGACAGCCTGAAGCATGAGGATGTTTACTGTCTAACGCAGATACTGAGAAAACGAGGGAAGCACCAGTGGAATCATCAGCCTAACACCGCCCTGCCCTGGATCCACCACTGTGTTTGGAATGAACGTTCTCCTTTGCAAACACGTTATCACCATCAGAATGGCAGACACAAAGGGCTTTCAAGCATTGGACCAAACAGTCTACACGGCCAGTCGCTGAACACCACCGTTCTATTCAGATTGAAGGGGCTGCCCTAGCGGGAGTAAGCGGCCAGCAAGAGTGACCAGCGAGTCACAGCCCGTCAGAGCAAACCCGTCCCGAGAAGCCGGAGCCTTCAGACTTGGCCAGGAGTCCTGCGCACAGTCTTCCAGCTGCAGTGGCCTCCCACGGCTCTTCCAGAACAACCTCAAAAGGCAGGGGGTGCACGGTGTTTCCAAACAGGGAAAGGAAGCAGCCCAACGGATTTTAGAAACTATTACTTGACAATTTTCCTCCCACTTTGACAGATCAAAAAAATCTGTGAACAATGGAAGAATGAGCTAACACACAACAGAAACCTTGTCACTTGTCCCTTCTCACACGTCACTGTCCCCACTGTCTCACGACAGGCGGCAAGAGCTGTACTCACCAAACCTTTGCAGGTTGAAAGAGCCACCGAGGAGTTTTTGTGGGATCGCAAGGAACCCTGGTAAAAGCAGAACTCCTCGGGCGGGAAAGTCTGCACCGACTTGGTGCCCCCCTTTCCCAGGGTCTGCACGAGGAATCCAGGGGCCACCAGCTTGACGGAAGTTGTCAGATCCATGTGGAAGTCGTGCCGGAAGCCTTTCAGCCGAAGGTGCAGAGCGTCCACCCCGCGCTGCGCCAGCGCCCGTTTCCGCCTCTGCGGGTGCGTGATCTCGTGGGACACGTAGTTGCCGTTGGGGTCAACCTCATAGGGGGACACCAGGTCATACTCTGAAAGCGAGAGAGGGGATGCGCTGAGTGATTTCAGAATTCTGGAAAGGATCAGGAAGTTTTCAAATACAACTTATGGCCTGATGGTATTTCCACCCCACAGAAAAGGAAACTGTGGAATGCGTAAAGTCAGCTGGAAGGGACGATCTCCACAGGGCCTTTCAGGGGGTCACGCTCGTCCCTACAATGTGTTACCGCCGATCCAGCAAGTGCTACGACACATCTAAGGAACAACAGATTACAGGCCAACTGAAGCTAAGGGTGGACTTTTCGGATTATAGAGTAATTTCTTTAGAGTAATTATAATAAGGACTCATTTTTATAGTTCTAAACATTCCTTTCATCCTATTGCCTTTTATCAATACCTTCATTCCACTGCTAAGAAATTATAGCTTAAAAATAGTGATGATTTTTGCAGAAAACAGTTAAAAAGACAAATATGATGGCCATTCTTTGGTGCTTAATTTCAAAATGCCTAATTATGAATCACAGAACTACAGGAGAAAAGGCAGAATGCACATAGTCTCATCTTTTTAAAAATTTGTATTTATCAAGAGAAACTATGCCTTAGCCCTGATACTCATGGTGCTTAGTTTCACAGTCTCATAGTTTCCTAGTTTTGGAACACACGTAAGTGACAAACTTCCACGGAACTCAACCCAAAGAAATGTTCAGGTTGGGAGACGCTTGGATGTGGATTTGCTCCCGGTGGAAACCACCGCTGGCCCTCCGAGCGGCCCGCGTTCTGGGCACCTGACCGTATTTCACACTTCGGGGCCATCCAAAGACATACACCACTCTTCTCCCCACTCTAATGTAAATTATACCGGGCTAGAATGTGCTCAGATAAATGGTTTATTTGTAAAACGTCAAAGGAAGGGAAACCCCAAGGAGCTGGCAGAGCACCCATGCATTCTGCCGGGCTGCACACACAGACAGGCCGGGCTCTGCGCTGCGTGCCTGTGAGCCACTCTCCTCTCTGCTCAAAGTATGGGGGGAACGTCTGTGGCATCTGGGCAGGGATCCCCGCTGCCCTTCTCAGAGCAGTGCCACTGTCTACTCCAAAGAGGCTTCCTCCTTTCTAGAGTCATTTAGCTTTCATTGCTACGGCCAGGAAGTTTCCTTTCATTGCCACCATCGATACATCATCTTCCCCACTCAGAGGTCAGGGAGAGTTGGTTCCTGGGTGGGCGGGACCAAATGTGGACCAGAGACATAGGGGAGGACTTCACACCGGGATCAGAGCGTCCCACACCGCCATGTTCTGAACTGGGACTGGACTCTGAGGCCATGTGCAGGTAGACTTGTCAAAGCTGAGGCTCTGGAATATTTTAGTTAACAATCTGTTAGCTTGGTTTGCACCTTTCATATATGTAAACGATATCTGGTATGTGTCTCCATCTGCACGCCAGCGATGGGCCTGCGCGTGTCCGGACAGGGGCCTGCTTCCTGGGTTGCGCTGTGTCTAAATGCCAGAAAGTAACAGGTGAGCAAGACGTCAGGTCTCCTCCAAGCTCCCGCTGAGATGCCTTTGAAACGCACGCCGGGCCCCAGCATCAGAAGGCTAGTCCTACACTGAGGTGGACAGTCTTCAAAGACAAAGCACAACTTCTTGTTATATGGACAACAAGACCCAATTCAAATGCTCTCATCCTGGTTCTAATATCCTAAGAAAGCATATATATTCTTCCTTTATTATCAATTTATGCTCGCAAGAGACGCTCTGTTAGACACTGAATGACTGGGCCCTCAGCACGAGTTGGTCCTGCTTCCTGGAGTCATGAGACAAAACAAAACAGGGTCCTGCAGAATGACATTTGGTCATGAGTCACAGGACTCGGGTAATTATTTTTTCTGGAATAAGACATTTTTCTTTGCAACCCAAACACTTGATGTGTATACTTGCCTGCGTATCCCCGTGCAGTCTTGGCAGGTGACTGAGGGGTTGCGCTGGAACAGAGCAGGTGGCAACCTGTGGATGGCGATGGCAGGCGTGTGTCTGGGTTTGGGAGAGGCAGGGGGGGCCATGGATGTGAGGCACTGCCCAGAGCCCCCTGTGTGGAAGCCCATGGCGAGGTGAGAGTCAGGGGCCCGACACCCAACCCCATGAGGCGGCAGAATAACCAAGGCCTTAGTGGTGGCCTGTTCAACCTGAACCCAGGTCTCCTGCTTCTTAGGTCAAGTGCTTTGATCTCTAACCCCCCCGGGATCACTCCTGGCCCAGGGGCCTGGCGCCTCACACAGGTAGCGGGTGAGCTGGACCCCATGCAGACTAGACAGGCAGGAGGTTCTGGCTGGCAGACGCAACAACCAGTCTTTGAAGTACATGTCAAATGGGACACTGTGTCTGATACGACAAAGTGCATCGGGGTTGTTCCATATGTCACTTCAGAAAACGAAAAGAGTAAAACAAATCTGGTTAAATTGCATGCAATAATAAAAAAATAGGGGGCTACAAATTAGGAATTAAAGGGCCAGAGTAAGTACGTGATCACAGTCTGTCTGGACCACTCCTGAAAAAAGGGAAAAGCGCTTGCCTAACCCGTGTGCACTTTCCCACCGCCTTCCTCGCCCCCGGCTCTCCGGACCGACGGGAACAGCTGGCGTGCCGCAGTCACGTTAACACATTTTGCCCTGCCGCGCGGGCTCTGGGGAGTGTCTCCACTTCCCCACTAGCCTGTGTCCATCCCAAAAGAGTCCACGGAATCAAGACAAAGCATGTGGACTGTTCCAAACATTGGCTAATGAGCCAATTCGCTGCACAGAAGAACATTATTACGATTAAAAAGTTGAATTGTTCCCAGATGACTTAAAGCTATATTCTTATGACCTTTATTTTGGAGGACATACAATCTTCATCCTTTATAGTGGGGGGGGCATATTTCTATTTTTTTTTCAAAATAGCAACTTTTAAGCCTCTTTTAGAGAAACCCAGTGTTGTGCCAACACGTATATGATGACCAGCTGTGGGGGTGGCGGGGTGCAGAAGGAATAGCCTAGTTTAAATCATCTGCCTATTTCCCCGTAGCTGCTGTGGATTACCAGCGGGACGTCTGAAGACGGAGTTTCAAGGCTTGCATGACAGCACATCCTTATAATTTCCACCATGCAGACACAGTGCAGGCAAGGAACCTCAAGAAGGCAGAAGACCAAAAACTCATAGAGCTGTAAGGTGATGAGTTCTCAGTGTTTTAATTCTGTTTTTTTTTTGTCCAATTATATATAAGAAATTTATTTATGACAAGGTAGGCAACACTATGCAATGAATAAGGAAAATGTTTACATTCGTTTTATGTCCAATATATTTGGTTTCCAAGGAACCAGCTCAGAGTCCCTACAAGGTAACAGTCAGCCCTGGGGACCTGGCCTGACCCTGCCCAGCACACCAGCTCGAACCACCGCAAAGCCACTCCTTGACATCAGTCACATCCCTTCCTGAGATTGAGGGTGAATATGGGTGAACGTTTAGTCCGGTGGTTCCCAACAAGGGTGCTATGCTGCCCCCAACCCCCAAGAGACACTTGGCTGTGTCTGGAGACACTGTGATTGTCACAAAGCAGGAGGGGAGTGTGGTGCTTTTAGAATCTGTTGGGTGAATCCAGGAATGTGGCTATGCATCCTTTCACGCACAGGACAGACTCCCACAACAAAGCATCAGCAGTGCCAGGAAACCCTGATTCCCCCAGAGCACGGTCCTTGGTGTCAAACAGGCTCTCTCAGTTACGTGCAGATGAATGTGAAAGAGGTCAGAGCCAAAGAATTCAGTGAATGAACAAAGTAAGCATAGCTTCTCACCATACACACTTCCTGCTGTTCCCAGAGAAGTTAATGTATCATCACAGTGAACTCACAGTTTTAAAGTAACTCCTGAGCTTAGGTTTTAAGATGATAATACCCAGAACTACTGTCTGGTGACTTCAAGAGAAAAGCATTACTGAGATTCCTGACCCTTGACAATCCTTCAGTGAGACCCTGGTTCGGCAGAGGCTTTCCATAAGCTGAAAAGACTCACACATGGCTGTACCAGTCAGCACCCCGGACTGCGGGATTTTAAGAGGTTTCTTGACCACAACAGCAAGGCCAGCGACACCCCAGTCCCAAACTCAGTGCAGGCGGCGTGGACCACCGGCGAGTATGCTCAGCCCGGCTTGTGCCAGCTGCAGAGAACCGATTTTGCACGTGGCGTCCTAACTCTGTGTTCAAGGGCAGTGCCTCCATAGCTCGGAATCAGCCACAGTGGGCGTATTTACCCCGTGGGAACCAGCGAAGGTTACAAACCAGAGCCCCGAGAGCCTGTTGCTAACCATTAACAAGCTCACCGCTGGGCCAGCCTGCCTCGTGTTGTGTGGGTGTGTGAGTAGAAATCAATATAAACTTCAGTGCACACACACAAACACACGTCGCTCACGTCCAAGGACGCATAGTCCTCAAAAACTTCTGACCCATGACCTGGAAGTTAACAAACTTGTGCTTTGTCTCTGCTCTTAACAAGACTCAAGGTAAATCTGCGGGACAAGCATTCAAGTCTCCTATTAAGGCAAAGCGATGCTGATCAGCCAGAATGAAGTGGGTGCACTTCATGTCTAAAAACAGAACTGATCTCAGTTTCCTCCTGTTGCCTCACAGAATACAAGGGGTTCTCTCTCTTAGTGCGAAATTACTGCAGACACCCAGTGCCATCGGAAAGACAGGTTGAAATATGTGGTAAACAAACCTTATGGCCAAAAGAGATACTTCAATGCCAATGTGCGGTTTTGAACGGATACCCAGACATCCAGCAGGAAGCTAACGGCAGCGTCGCACAAAGCCTCCTCCAGCTCTGCTGCCCTAGGTCAAAAGAGGTGACGCACTGCGCAGCAAGACTCTGTTTTCTGGGGTGCGAACGCTTCCCACTGAGCCCCGCCCTCTCCACTGAGCCTTCTGTAACTGAAGACAGAAAACACTTGCATGCTGGGGGGGGCGGGGGTGTGTCCCCTAAGACAGAACCTCAGGACATCACTAATGAAGACTCACACCTTCCCCTTGAGGTTTTGAGCAAGGGAGGTAAATGGTTGTCATGGGAACGCCTGGCTCAGGACACCAGCTGAGATGCCAGGGGATTAGATGCACGTGCCAGGCAGCCAGGGGTCCAGCTTGCGGAAGGAGGGCACACTGGGGCAGGAAGGAAGTCTTGGCTTCTTCTCCTGGAAGTGGTTATCTAACGCTCTCACCTAACAGAAAACTTCGTAAATGCTAGAATCCACTCTGAAAAACCTCCTGAGACCTTCAGGAATATTCATGATTTTAGAAAACTAGAATTTTCACAAAAGTCTTTTTTCTTTAAGTGGGGAAGGACAACTAACTACAACATGAATGATTATATAGTAGCATGAATCATTAAAGAGGACAAGGGCAAGCCCAAGAAGGTGAGCTTTAAACAGATTAGCTTTCTCTTGCAAAAAGCATGGTGACAAGCAATTTTTAAACGTTTTCTCTCATTTACATCTGGCGCCCTCTGGTGGCCCCCGAAAGGGTCCCACGTTCCAGCATTCATCTGATTTATCACTTTATTTATAGGCTATTCATACAGCATTCAGGAAGAGAGAATCTCAATAATTAATGCAAATATTTAATTATTGTCTTTGTGGAACGTTATCAAGACGCAGGAATTCTGAATTATTGACTCAAATTTTCCAGTTTTCTGCAACTATGTTGGGATAATCAAACCTAATTCTTCTTCTGTAAGTCACTAGTAACATTTGAGATGGTAATTAATAGTTGGAAATGATGCAAAGTACTCGTAGTTAACAACTGCCAATGGATTGGGTTCAGATAAAAATCAGCTAGCAACTGACGTTGCGCGCCTGCTTTCTCGTTTACCCTAAAGTAGTTCAGGATAGGGAGGTACTTCCCGTGAGACATGGAATGCTAAATGCTCCCTGTGAACGGCGAATGTAAAACCACACATTGCAGAAGGGTCCGACTTGCCTTTATGCCAAATCGGGGCACAACCTTGGACATCGCTTCTGACGTCACAAAACGCTAATTACCCATTCCGTGAACTACTATGTTCCAATTACGCCCAACTCCGAAGAGCATCCTTTTGGATACTAAGAAGTACTGGGCAACAGTGGCTGGCTGATGCTCCCTGCTGTGACAGTGAAGGATGTTCAAGTTAAAAGGTCATGGGGAAACAGGAGGGGCAGGGAGCTGAGGGGATGAGAAGGGCGAAATAAGCTGCTTATAATTGCTTTGAGGTATACACTACTACAACTCCAAGACTATCCCTTCCATCTTTAATTTTTTTAAATAGATGCATTTCCTTACTTTCTTCCCTAATGTTTATGGTAATAACGCTGGTAAACCTGCTTCTGTTTTACAGGGAAACTGTAACTATTGGTGAGAGTTGACTCACAGGTTGGATGCACTGCAGTATCTTACAGAAAGTTCCTAGAGCTGTCAACATTTGCAGCACACTGTAAACCAGCGCTAAGGGGGTTCACGAGCTTCTACTGCAAGGATTCCACCTCCCCCCGTCGCAGACTTACCGCCCTTTTCCACCCAGCCCAGCTGCTCCGCGGGACCAGGAGGACGCCGGACGCTCGGGTTCCCGGGCGAGGTCGCTGCGGGTCCCACGGCGCACACAGGTGCCTGCTGGAAAACAGCGGCGACACCTCGGTGAGACGGGGTCTGAGCCAGGGGCGCCTCGGGGACCCTGCCCCCAGAGTCGGGGACTCACCTGCACACCCACCTGAGCCAGCAGCAGCACCCAGAGCACCGCGCAGCCGGGGACCCGCATGGCCGGGCTGCCCCGCGCGACCCGCGCCCGCCGCCGGCGCTGCGCCCCCGCGGGGATAACGCACGGCTTCATCCAGGGGCGCTCGGAGGGGCCCGGGGCCGCGGGATGCTCCCCAGCCCGGCGGCGTGCAAGTGGCCACCGAGGACCGACCCGGCCCGCGCGCAGGACGATGCCCCGCCGTGGCTGCGCCGCCCGCGCCGGGCTTATTACTGCGGCTCCGCGCCGCGCGGGGGGCGGAGTGGTGGCCGCGGCGGCGGGGGCGGCGGCGGAGAACCCGCCCGCACCGTGGGAGAGCCGGGGAGGGGGAGGGCAGGGCAGAAGAGGGCAGGAGGTGGGAGGGCGAGGACGGGAGGGGAGAAACGACGGGGGAGGGAAGAGGCAAGAGAGAGGGCGCCGGGGTGGGGCGCGAGGGGAGGAGGACCGCGCGCTCGCTGCAGTCAATGCCTTGCCGGAGGTCCCGCGGGCACGCGGCTGGAGAGGATGGCCGGGGGCGGGAGAGGGGCGAGAAGGTTGGGCCGGGCGCCCTCCCGGGGACCCTCTGGACCTGCAGTCCGCTGCTGGACTGGCTGGCACCTGGCCGCACCGTCCCCGGCTCTACCCGAGCCCCACTCCCTTGGGCCGGAGCTGCGCATCCAAAGGCCAGACACCTGCCGCCCGCCGGAATGCGGTGGGAGGGCGCCTGGGCTCAGCTGGGTCGGTCCTCCTGCCCCGAGGGAGATCAGCTGAGAAATAGAGGCGCCAGGATCTTCTTGGGGACGCGTGGATCTGGGTATACACGATTGTGTGTTACTCGCTGGCTTGTGAAGTGATGGAAGACAAGGGGGTCGAGGAACGCCGTCTTCCACGCAGTCTGCCCTGGGCTCCCGTGCCGCTTCTCGGGTCGCCCTTGACCGGCCTTGCTAGGAGTGCCTGTGCAGGGGCTGCTGGCTGCCTGGGTACAGCGGGTCGATCGGCCGATGGGAGGCTTTGGGGTCGCGGATGGGCCCAGGACAGTGCAGCCACCGTGCGGGTCTTGCAAGGAGGCCGAGGGAGCAGCAGACACTCAGCCACCGGCCTGGCTACGAGGCCAGAGCGTGTTCTACGCCTACCGAAGGACGCACGTGTGCATGTTTGAATATGAGCACGCATGTACACGCGTACGCGCCTCAGTGCCGGCCTAAGTGTACCGCCCCCACCCCCGTATGCGTCTGCGCTGGAGCGCGAGTGCACCGTGTGCCAGCGCTTGTTCCCAAGCACGTGCTGTGCCTGTGGCCACTCTGCTCCACCGACTGTTCCTGGCCTCCTTGACCTCTAACCTCCAGTAGGTCCCGGGAGTCTGGGTTCATGCTTCATGGTTCTGGTGTCCCTCATGGTTCAGTTTAACCCAGCTTTGCCTGTTTTGTGTATTTGGGAGAGCAGGATGGAGAGGGAATTGGTGGCAGTGGTCTCTGGCCTCCTTTGCCCAGCTTGCCCTGGGCCTGTAGGTGACTCTTGCCTG